GGCCGGGGCCGATACCCGGAGCAGCCACGACAGGTCTCCGATGGAATTTTCGAGCTGCGACGACATTTTCCGGAACTGGGCGGCTGGGATGATGGTGAAGACTCTCTTCATGATGCCGTTGGCGCGGCATTTGAGCACCAGAGACAGCGCTTTGTCGAGCACTTGCTCAGTCTCGTCGATGATCCGGCGAGTTGGGCGCTCGTAGAGGTCGGAGCTGGCCCGAGCGGCTTGCCGGAGAAGCAGTGCGAGCTTCTCGGTCTTGGATTTGAGCTCGAAGCACTCCTGCTTCGACGAACTGGCCTCCTCTGCAGCCTTCGTGACTTGGTCAGCTAGTTGGATCGGCTTTGCCAAGATTTTCTTCACTATGTCCGCCATGGCTGGCACGGCGGACCAAGACACCAAGGTGTTTGATGAAGTCGGGGTTGTCAAAGAACAGATATTAGATCAAAAGAAGTCAAATGGGTCTTCCTGGTTTGGCCTCTGCACTCGTTTTTGGGGCTTGGCAAGTGGAGAAGAAGATGGAGATACTGTGCTGAGAGAAGCACAGAAAGCAGAAATGAATGTTAGGCCAGGCAAATGCAACGTGGGTTAGGGTAGGGAGAGAGAGAGAGAGAGAGAGATGCCTCGAACAAAGTTTGGTGCTTTGGGTTTGGGTTTGTGCCAGAGTTTTTGCAAAGTGATAGTCGACAAGGTCTACAAGGTCAGGTCAAACGCGTTTTTTTTCCCTTATATAAAAAAGTAAAGAGCATATGACCTCTTATTTTCTCTCTCTCTCTCTCTCTCTCTCTCTCTCTCTCTCCTCTACATGGTTGGGGGTGCTTCTCTCTTTTCATTTTCTACGTCTTCTCATATTAGAGTTTTCAATGAATTAAAGATAAGGACAGCATCGTGATATACCAATAGAAATTGCTGTCAGGCTGTCACCTTTTAACTACAAGCCCCACTCGGGTCCACTCCTGAGGTTGCAGAAGTAAGGCATTCTCCAAATGGTCCTAAACTCAAATTTACCTCCTCTAAAAAGTAATTATTTAAGTTTTACTCAGACTCAAACCCTTTTTTTTTCTAATTCTTTATATTCAAATTTTAAGTATGTAATTTTATTAAATTTTTTTTAAAATAGTTTAAATCTATTCTTTTTTCATGAATAAGTTTTCTTCATTTAATCTTTTTAAATAACTTTATAATTTATTTTTTTGAATAATTTGACCTAAAAAAATTGAAATTCTACAAATATAATTTTATTTGAGAAATGAGTGGGCATTTAAATTTGGAGTGAGTTTTGGGGTTGAATTTAATTTAGATTGATTTAAATCATTATTTAAATGATTGAATTTAAATTTTAGTCGTTGGATTTTTTTTACCGTTAAAATAACTTAGACTTAACATAAATCATTGGATTTGGGTTATTGTTGGAATAATAAAAAAAATAAAAAATAAAATAGGCACAACACATGATGCCCATTAATTTCTCCTTACACATGGGTTGCATCAGCCTTGAGTAGTCTCCACCAAAATGTTTTTCGTGCCTGAACTGGTATTTGGTCCCAAGTTTGGATCTTTCCAAATTTTGATTCCTTGCTTATTATTTAAGTTTTATCGCATGAGTTAAGAGATGGCCTAAGAGCATCTCCAAGGGAGATGTCAAATACCAAACATCAAATTTAAATTTGATGGCTGATGTGGCTATTTGACATCTTACACAGCTTTACACTCCACCCGATATGTCAAATTAAATTATTATTTTATTACATTTTAGTGTTGATTTATTTTTAATTAAAAAGAAAAGAAAAAATAATAATAAAATATTCATTTGACATCTTACTTTTGAGATGTCAAAAATAACATCTCAACCTCCAGCCTTCATTCCACATCAGCTTTGACACATCGGTTGGAGTGATGTGAGATGTTATTTCTAGCTGTTAAAGGTCTATGTGACACTTTTGACACATCGGTTGAAGATGCTCTAAGGCAGGCAAAACTTTGGCTTGGCAGGTGTCAATTTAGATTTACTGGTAAAAGTAAAACCAACAAACTTCATTATTGCAATCCCAACTGCTATTGCCATTGAGTGGCTTTTGTTACTGGAAGATGCTTTCCAGTCCAACTTTTTTTTAATCCTTCGCTATAAAAAGGAAATATGACATCTCATATGTGGCATCAGTGTTTGACTTTCGTTTAATTATATTTACTTCAATCTAATGACAGCATTGCTACTTTGCAATGGGAAGATCACCTACAAAGTCAGGCCTCCTTATTTTATTTTAACCCAATTTTATATACAAATAATAAGCAGATCCACAAAACTATAAAATCAATTAAATTAAGCTCAAAATCGATGGTGGGAATGCTTAAAAATGGGTATAATTTTTTATTTTATTATTTTCAAAAGCTTTAGAGCTAGATGGGTTTTTCTTGTTTCCAGTGTTGTTTTTGGACTTGTAACATGCCCATTTTTTTTTTAGAGAAACTCTATCATGTAATGAGATAATACTTTTGGCTATCCCCACTAATAACATAATGACACGTAGATAACTTCTCCACATATCATTATGTTATTAGTCGAAGATAACAAAACAGTGTTATTCCCGTTACAAGTAAGTTTTTTTTACCTTTTTTTTAAGTGCTTTATTTATATTATCTCATATTTTAATCGGTGACCAAATGATGTGATGGAGCTTGATTTTGTGCATCCAATTTTATTGGCATTGCTGGACTTGGGGCCTAAATGTATCCGTGGCAGTTTTTGAATCTCTTGCTATAAGTTTTGGGATGAGACCTCTGGCTGGCTTGGCCCTTGGCCTTGGAAAAGCCATGCCCTCGATTGGGACACTCGTGTTTCTTTAATTTTTCTTACTTAAGCCAATTAAAACAAAACTACTCAAGATTTTAAGCCCTTTTTCGTAAATGGTACAGGATATATATTGCTTCAATATCCAGCAACAAATTGATAGTGAGTTGGACAAGTGGAGGGGATCTGTTTGCCTCTGAATTAGTCAGTTGCAATACATGTTATTATCATCATCATGATTCATGTCTGGCCAACTGCCACATTCTTTATCATTTTATCTTTGTCATGATTTATTGGTTCTTTTTTTAGTTGAAGTGAGAAGCTTAGAATTTGCTAGTTGGCAATTCAAATCAATTATGTTTGGTGCTGCAGTCGGAGGTTTTATAGGAATCTTTGTGTGAGAATTGCTTCTAATTTGATTGTGTCGGATATTTTCTCCCTCTCTCTCTCTCTCTCTCTCTCTCTCTCTCTCTGTTGTATTTCGAGGCTTTGGCTGTTAATCTCAGTAGAGAATTAAAAAATGAA